ATAATTATATGTCCAGTCGTGATAGGTTCCCTTTAAAACCAGCAAGACCAACAAATCCTTAAGCAAATTGCGTGGATTCACCATCCACTGAAATCCATGAGGCTTGTTGACCGCAAAAAACTTTTTGCTTGTGTTGCTTTCCAAATCCAGTTCAAGGACAAAAACACTTTGAACTCTGAAGTGCACACACACACCTGGGCCCTGTAAAGTAAAGTTGTCTTTAAATGGCCCCCTCAGTCTGGTTCCATGTTTGATGGGGTCATGCTGACTTGAATCGAGGCTCCTCCTTGCCCGTGTTTTTTGTGTATAAGTTCAGCTTCCCTCTGATTGGTGGTTTGGATTGGTGGTTTGGTGGGTAAGGAGGGGTTTCCCATTTGCCCTCCACAAGAACTGGGGGTTCAAATCCAAATCACCAAATACCCTCTCTCCAATCATAGAAGCTGACTAATGTTGGACCTCCTTTATTAACAGTACTCTCTATTGTGGAAACTTTTTTTCTAATTCAGAATCGTTTGACTGTTTTAGGGGTCCGCTATTGTGGAAAGCTTTTTTGCCGGAGCCAACGCTGAACAAATGTGGGCAACAAAACTTGGCAAACAAGTCGGGCAAGAAACAAGCAAACAAATCCTGGCAAACATTGGGAAATCCTTTTCTTGAAGTGGTCCCACAACCATCAAATTTATGATAACTTCTTGAAAACAAAATGCGGGCAAACAGTCGCACAAAGGGGAGTGCCCGCAAGAGGCCCAGATCCTCTTTAGTGCGACTGTATTGGGGTCCTCTTTAGTGTGCAGGTGGTTTTGGGGGGTTGCTGAAAAAACGATCCTGCGCAATACTGAAGTAGAATTTGCAATAATTACTCGGGTAAGTACTGGGAAGCTGAGAGTCAGCCTTGGCAATACTAAAGTAAGTACTGGATGCACTGGGAATCTGAGAGGGAGCCTTGGCAATACTAAAGTAGAATTGGCAATACTAAAGTCAGCACTTGGAATCTGAGAGGGAGCTTTGGCAATACTAAAGTAGAATTGGCAATGCTAAAGTCAGCACTGGGAATCTGAGAGGGAGCTTTGGCAATACTAAAGTAGAATTGGCAATGCTAAAGTAAGTACTGTCCCTTCCAGACCCCCCAGGAATTCACTAAAGAGAGTCCAGCTGACTGTTTCCACTGTTCGGGGGGGGGGTAACATTAAAGAGAGTCCAACATTATTGGAGAGTTTTTCCGACTATTCTCCTTTTCAGGGAAACCCCTGTCACCACCAAATAAGGTTCCACCTGAAATAAGGTGTAACCACCCCAAAACGAACCCCGGGCAACACCAGGGAGACGGATTCGCCTCTGAGACTTCCGAGATCCAGTGCTCCAAATCGCCTCAGATCCCGTTGGCTTTTTGTTTCTCTCGCAGCGAGCTGGGTCTGTCTTGGTTTTGAGGTTACATATGTTGGGCTGCTTTTGAGGGTACCCTTTTTGGGCTGCTTTTTGAAGGTACATATTTTGGGCTCTTTTTGAGGGTACCTTTTTTGCGTTGCTTTGAAAGGGAAGCCAAAGGGAAACCACTTGTTTTGGGGGCTCCCACTGCAAAAAACCACACCCATTTGGGACAAACCGCTGACACGGTGGATTGGTGGTGTGGCTGGGTGTTTTCCCATTTACCCTCTGCAAGAACTAGGGACTGGTTCAAACCCAAACACCACCAATCCAAACCACTAAGTACCCTCCCACCAGTTAACATGGAACCTGACATTCAGGGGTCCCTTTGGAAAGACAATGGTCAAATCCAGGACCTCCCGAATGTCAGGTTCCATGTTAAGTGGTGGGTGGGCAAGGGCTACCTGGTCAGCTCCAAGCTGCTATGGAAATGCTGGGCAAACTGGTTAAACTTCTCCTCGGGTTCGATGATGGTCTCCCCGTTTTTCCACAGCGTGCCCACCATTTCCGCGTAATCCTCTGCTTTGGCCGCGCAGACCTCCGGCTCCTTTGGCCAGCCATGGTGTTGCACCTGGAGATCAGGATGAACCACTGAACAACCAGACAGCCGAAGTGAACAAAAAACAAAAAAACATGTGCTTGTTTTGGTAGTCACAGGAATCCAGGATTTTAAAGGACGTCTTGGGTTTTGATGTGCTCTGCTCGACAGCAGCTAACTGGTCTAGCGCTAGAATTAGACTGATGCTGGCTTAGTATTGGGGGGTGGGGATTGGACAAAAATACATCGGGTGCATGTATTCAAGAGGGAAGAGACACATCGGAAACTTCAAAGTCCTTAACCATTTGAGCCAATTCCCGACCCCTACCGCAGATTTCAGAGCTGGAATCGGCGCTGGCAAAGTACCTCTGCAGCCCTCATGGGCACACAGACCCCCAACACAAAGCAAAGGATTGGCCAGTTCTTTGGACATGCGATGTGTCGCTGCGCGGAACAAAGAGATTCTGTCTTGAGAAAATGGACGCATATTGGCTAACCAGATCCCCCAGTTTCAGCATCTCCGCCTCCAACTTCTGCGCTGCCGCAGCCTCGATTTCCACACGCTCGTTGTCGCACATGCATGCGTCACACTGCAAAGAAGGAATCGGCATGGCGCGAAGGCCGCGACGGCCGGCGGGTTTTGAGCGACTGCGATGGGCGAAGCGGCGAACACACCAAGGGCCCAGTGAGTCCAGGCATGTGAGTACCACCCATTCCAACAATTTACGCTAGAGAGTCTGAGAGCATAGGGCACAAATCCACTTCTGCGGGTAAAAAGGATGACTAAACCATTGGGAAATTCGGTTTATCCGACCTCTGGCCCTAAGCATTTAAGTCATATTCCTCCGAAGTAGCTGCCACTTTGTGGGTAATCAGCATGACCTTTTATGGGAAAATTGTACGATTTGGGTGTGTCGCTTTTTAGGGCACTGAAAGGGAATTGTGTTTCTCCTTCGCCCAACAAAACGGAAGGTACCCCATGAAACAAGAAGAACACAACAAACATCTACTTTCACCCGGGCCTCTTCTGCCGGTTTTTTGAGCGCATCGTCTCGCGCGCTCTCGAATGCGCGAAGCTTCGCGCGCGCCTACGCCGAGGAAGCCGTACTGGGGGCTGTCAGGGCCGATGGCATCTCCCTGGGCATCCTGCGAGCGCATGCGTCGATGGGGGACTCCGCGAAGCTCACTTCCGCTCCAGAGGACTGGCAAAAAGGCATATATATATATGATATATATATATATATATAAAAATAATAATAATATATAAAAAAAAAAAAGGAATAATAATAACAATAAAGAATAATAATAATAATAAAGACAATAATAATAATAACAATAATAATAACAATAATAATACTACCAATAATAACCATGATAATGATAATAATAAAGCATGGTCCAAGCCCAAAAAGTGTTTAAAGTTTAAAGTCCAGGAACTGAGGAAGAGAGCTTTTGGCTTCAAAGAACAAGGACGAAGGAAACCACAGCCACTTTTTGGGACCCGAAATGGGTGAAGCTTCAATTGGGACCCGAATTGGTGTACATCAGAAGTCGGGGACTCCTGTCCACCAACCACTTTGGAGCTGATTCCGCCCTTATCAAGCTTCGTATCCAGATGGTAGGTTTTTAAACAATACCAAACAAAAAGAGGGGGGGATAATTTTGAGAAACTTCCGTATTCAAATGAAACCCACAGCATTCCTTATTAGGGTTCCTTGAAGGATTGGTGGAGTTTCGATGATTAGGGGTGCATTTTCATGCGATTTTGTCAAGGGGGAGTTCACATACACAATCCTACACAAACCACCAATTACGGGTCCCCTAGATGTCCGCTCCATCACTATCACAGGAAACTCAGCGTAAATGGCCCTAAAAAGCGATGTAAGCCACCAAAACGGAATCCACCACACCCTCATGTGTAGCATTCCTAGAAAAAGCTCCTTTTGCAAAGGCCTCTTTATGAGTAACAGCAACCAGCCCAACATCGATCATGCTGCAGTGATACCAGCACAAGTCCTTCCAATGACTCATTATCCGTAATTAAGGGGAGCTTTCCTGGTATGGAATCGGAAAACAACGCCCCTCATTCAAAAGGCCCTTGTCACAACTCACACATCAGAGGCCGGCTGCCTGACTAGACGCATGGACCGCCCTCATGCGTTGGCCATCAAAAACATGGCAAGGCCTTTAAAACGCTGCCATTGAATCATGTTGCCATCGCAAGCATACGACTAGGACAATACTTCTCAAAGTTAGTTCCGTTTCGCAGGGTTCTTGCCCAGTGTCCCGCAGAATGGATGTTGACGCAAAGGCATGGGGGTAGGGCATGTCAACGGAGAAGGCGCGACATGCGGTCGCCCCGACCGCAAAAGTCTGAAGTCCTACGATCCCTGTATAGTTCCCCAACTGGAACTGGCAGCAAATGTGCAGCAAATCAGGGCCTCTTCACGGATGCAATGGGGCCAACCATAAAATGCATCACGCCTACCAGCTGCTTTGGGGGAACCCTTCATGAAGCAGGTGGCCATGGGTCAAAATCACGTACCCCCAGTGAACATCCCAATCCCCACTAAAATAGACTCAAAGGGGTGGTGCAGCGGCCGAATGGCAAAACCAGATGCTGGCAGCGAAACGCGGCGAAGCGCCTTGAGGTGACCGAAGAGCACATACTTCCGCGCTGACACCCAGCACTGGCCAGAGTTGATGAGGAACAGGCTGAGGCAAACGCCCTCGCCATCGTGTGGGTTTTGTTGTGTCTCAGGTGGCATAGGGTCAACCATATGGGTGTGGGTCAAAATAGGTACCCGAAATGCAACCACAACCTGCGGTCCCCTGGTGGGTTAATTTTGACCCACACCCATATAAACCAGGTGGTTCTGTTTGTTGCAAGTAGTGACAATGGTGGTTTGCTTTGGGCAACCTGAAAAAGGTAGTCTAAGCAAGACATGCACCCAGTACCCAGTGCCGGGAGAGCTGTTGCCAAATTATCTGGGCGCTGTGGGACGAGGGTCTTCGGGTACATCCCCGTTTTGGGGCTCGCAACCACCTGCCGCTTCAAGAAAGCATGCCAACCTCTGGTTCCTCACCTAGTGCTTCAAACAACATAGTGTTTTTAAGCGCACAAGGAAACTCCATCTCATTTGACCTCGGGACAAAGGACCTGACCAGTGTGGACAAAAAAACCAACGAATGATGTCCACCAAAGCATTCCGGCTGGCTAGCAAAAGTGAATAAATTGTGGGCCTTGACTAGAATGTTTAGGACACCTGCCAGCAGAAAGCTTGAAGCTTGCCAACTCAACAGGTAAGCAACTAAAACTCAGACCCGCAATCTTGACCCCCGATTAAGCCCGCCTTGATAAAGACTGTCCTCTTCACCCCGATTCCGAGCCAAGGCTACTTTTTTTGTTTTTCCCCGGCGGGGTCCGTGAGTCAGGGGTTAGCCTTCTCATCCCAAGTTGCAGCACTTTTGCAAGCTGTGGAAGCCGGCTCCAAACTCCATCCTTCTAATGGAAAGGGGCTCACCTACTAGGCCCAGGCCCCCAAAATAAACAAATAAAAGAAGCAAACAAAAACAAACCGAGGGTGTTTCAGCTGGAGGTGGGTGCATCCCTTCCCCGGCCAGCAGGTTTATACGGGCCTTTTTGGGAGTACGCTTTGTGTTTCTCAGTTTAATAGGAAACCAAAAGGAAACCACAAATTTGTTTCGGGGGTCCCTAGAGAAAGACAAACTTTTTTACTTTCTACCCCTCCTGCGAAATTACGGACGTGTACATCGCAAGTTTGCTGCCTTTCCCTTCAGGGAACCTCCGCCTGAAGCACGGACTCCATGCACATCAGCTCTTCCCGTCGAGGGCTCGCGGCAGTGGCAGGTGGTTGGCCTATAAATAAAAGCCTGATGCACTTGTGCGGTACTTTAAGAACCGAAACTAGACCATGATCATATCACCGAAATTTAAAATGCGGGTAGTTCTTCAGCCCTCGGAAATATACACCCTGCTCTACAAACGAAGCGCAACCGATCTGAGACAAGGCGCCAACACGTTCATGCCCGAAAGCAGCCAAATCAGCCCGCGCGTGCCCAGGAAGAATCCACCCAGCAGGGGACAAATCATCCTCAGTGATGTGGAATCCGCTCTCTACTGCTCGAATTTCCTATACCTACCTTGAATCAAGCAAAGAACGGTGATAAAGTCTTCACAAGCTGCATCTGCGGCCTTGAAGCATTTCATCGCGCGCGCATTTTTCTGGATTGGGAGAAACTCGAAACGCGCAAGGGCGACCTGTCAGCGAAAACGCGCGTTGAACATGTCCGCCTGGAGTGCCTGTGCTGCCTTCCCTAGGGGAGGTCTTGCCAAAACACCATCTACGACCCCACAGGTGCCAATTGACACGAGGTCGCGATATGGGATTTGTCTGGGCTCAAAGGCTGCCATCCATAGGATGCCACTCAAGGGACGTCACAACCATCTGGCAAGGAACGATGTTTTAACAACTTGCTGGTGCTCAGCAGGGAATGAGGGAATGACACCTATAAACCATCCAACTAGTGGTTTCCTTAAGGGGACCCCCGGGTTCATTCCCTCATTCCCTGCCTATCGCACCAGCAAGACCACCTAGTTGGCACCTTTTGGCCCATGCAAAGACTGCCAGGCCGCGAGTGGATGATGGGGCCGAAGACCAAGCCTTACCAAGCCATCCGACTGGTCAAAGCGATGCACACACGCGATGGCCAAGTCTGATTTGGAAAGTGGGGCAGCGCTAAGGGGACAGCTGGGTGTTTGTTGATCCACGCGATCATGAAGTTGCAGTTCCCCCAGCTGCCTGACACAGAAGGGAACTGCAAAGGTTTCAACATCATAGTTTCGACCCGTAGTTGCAGCACACTGTTCCTCCAGTAGGGAGGTTAGGATAAGGGTACCCTTTTTCTGTTGTCTATTTTAGTAGGGGAAGCCTCCCCCGAAAAAGGGTAAAAGGGCACTACTGGGGGACCTAGTAGGTGCTATGGCAAGGCTCTTGCCCTGCCCTTGGCTCGCCAAGGGTAGGTTCTCAAATCTCAAGAGCTCCTGCAGCACAACACCGGCAGCCTTTGGACCCCAACATAATCCAGCTGAGAAGCGCATGGAAGTGATGGTGCCAAAAGACGACAGAATCCGAAGTCCTTCAAGCCATCATTTTTTTGCATGTGACAACTGCAACTTGTGGGTCCCACCCGTGGGGGAACCAAGGCAAATCATCTATCACACACCGCCTTTGCAAAGGCGGAACTCCTTTCCACGCGACCCGGGCGCTTCCTACATAAGCATGGGGCACCAACGAAAAAATCGTTTCTCATGTTTGCAGAGTGGTGCAGGATTTCGTCCATCCACAGTAGGATGGCCATCCAGCTGCAAGGAAACAACAAAGCTAGCGCCAAACTGGAACCTTTCTGCACCGCCTAGATGATAATATGCTGTTCGAAATGGTGTGGGTTGGCCAATCCTTCTCCATATTCCCTGAGGCAAAGCCACTACAAAGGGAACCCGTTCCTTGCGTGACCCAAGGTAAAAATTAAACCATACATCTAAACAGCCAGCAACAAGGGGGGGACTCCCCAACAGAAGGCGCCGCCCAAAAAACCGATGGGTTTCCAGGGTACTAGTTCAAGGATACTCGTTGGTGAAAAGTTCCCCCGAAAAGGACAAAACACAGGGAGACAAAACAAGACAGAGCCCACGAACCCGAATGCACATCACTTTGCACAAACCCAAGAAAAGAGAGACCATTTTTCGGTATAAGCCAGGGGAGGGAAAAAAAACGCTTCCCCTTGAGGCCTTGGCATCCACAAGCCACATGCCAAACCCTGACTCAAGATGCCCGCCACGCCAAATCCAACAATGGTTCAGTTCCTTGCTGCTGCGATAGGTAGGGAATGAGAAATGGAATGAACCTGGAGATCCCCGAATAAAGGAAACCATGGGGGATGGTTCTTCTTGGGGTCATTCCATTTCTCATTCCCTGCCTATCGTGCCAGCAAGTTTCTGCCAATGCTACCCGTCCTTCCAAAGATTGCCCAGAAACAGCTCTGGTTGCCAACCAAAACAGCACCTGTCTTACCATGGTTTAGGCACGTAAACGGGTCGCTACCGCAAAACTGATGAACCATTGCCCCCGTCTTTGCACTGCAGTCCCATTGGTTCAGGGCGGACCGGAGGCCGGGTGCTGACTTTGATGTTTTTGCGCCATGTTGCGTGTGGTCCTCTTTGATAAATTGGCATCGGGAGACAGGAAACGAGTTCCCGTAGCCCATCCACACCTGACACCCTTCGCCCCATGGAACAATAAGCAGATGTCAAGAACAGGTCCCCCCCTCCTAAAATGCGAAGGACCGAAATGGCGAAACAACCTCATTGCTTTAAGTATGGAATAGACTGATTTCCAGCTTTTTCAGCATGGCACATTGGTGGATCTGTGGGGTCGCAAATCCATTTCGCGTAATAGTCGGACACGGCGCCATCTGGCAAAATATGTTTCGCAATAGGTTTTGACGTACAACCCATTCAGCTCTCTTTTTACCCGCCCCCCAAAGTAGCCCACTTGAAGCGCCATAGGCAGTCCTTTGATGTGCGACTGCGGGAAGGGTACATCGGTGATCTTGGACACGGTGTTGGATTCCTAGCGTATTGCTGACACATTGCTCGCTTGCAACATGATCCAAAGTGCAAGGAACCATATTGCATGGGAAACCATTGTTTGTTCAAAAAAATACAGGGGAAGTATCATGGGGTTTCTTAGGTGCAGGATCTTCGTCGAGCCGTAGCATCAAAACAAGCGTGGACCCAGGAGTTCGGCTGTCTAATCCTTGTTGGAATGAGGGCAGGAACTATTACTTGGTCAACACGCGCGGAAGCTGCAGCTGGTCTTCTCCCATCCATGGCAACATTCATGTTCCGAGTCAGAGGACTTGCCGAAAACGCTCGAGCTACCAAACAAATTTTACACGGTTCCTATGTCGAATTGAACACATGCAGGCACATGCAGCTACAGAAATGGAGTCTAGCGCATCTCAAAACTGTCACTGGATGATCATTCTGGAGCCCAAGAATCTTCTCATGAAAACTAAACACACTGTGGGGGAAATCTTTCAATGGGAAATGGGGGGGGCAATGCGATGGGTGAATTACTTTGGTGCCAATCGTTGGCACCATCCAACGGTCGTGGAAACCCAGTGATCCATATCCGGCGAGCTTCCGACTGGATAATTACGACACTTGAAAGTGTCCGATGGCCAAAATGAAAATGGGTCTGCCTTTTTGGTTGGTACCCCCGTCTTGGTGGTTAAGGGAAACCAAAATGAAAATGGGTCGGTCTGTCTCCCCGTCTTGGTGGGAAAACCAAAAGGGAACACGGTTGCGCCATTTTTTGGGCCCCTCAAAAAAAATGGTCAAACGCCCACGGAAAGTCTCCTTGCAGAACCGCATGAAGGCCTTGGACGTTTCTAGGCCTCAAAGCGGAGAACAGCTTGCCAGGGCTCCCTTGCTTTCTGGGTTTGCCAGTGTTTGTTGCGAATTGGGTGTCTTTCTTTTAGGGCACCCCCCCAAGAGACAAAAAGGAAGAAGAAGAAGAAGAAGAAGAAGAAGAAGAAGTGGTTTTCCTCTTGGCTTTTCATTCAACCCAACAAGAACAGGTACCCTCAAAAAAAGGACAGATCCAATTGTTGATGTCACTCCGTGCGCTTCGTTGCCGGCTTTCGTTCCTTGGCTTCCCTCCGGTGCCTCCCTCCCATGAAGTGATAAAAAACAGAAAACGATGCGGGCAGTCTTCCGCAAAAACCGCTTGGAACGATTGGACTGCGTCGGCATTGACGTGAGGCAATCAACGTGACACCAACCCTTAGGTATTCCGAGCTCGTCACGACACTGCTTTTGCACAAAACGAAACCATAAAACCTCCCCCCAACAGGCGACGCTTCCATCAAAAGGACCCCAGCATCCGCTTACGTCGCAGGGGTGATCTTTCGTGGAACTTCCATTTGTCATCCGTGGGGGAGAGGCTGATGAAACCTACCGGGACCCCCTTGTTTGTGTGGGTCCATGTTGCTGCCAAGGCTGGTGGAAATACATTGCGCCATCCAATGCGTGAAATTGAAGTGACGATCAACTCACTTCGCCAGTGACCAGCCAAAAAAAAGGTGTACACTTCTTGGGCCACCACCAAAATAAAGCAGCAAGAACACAAGTGTAAAGTGTGTCCACTGGCTGGGTGAGTCAAGTCTGAATGGGCACATTGCGCCACCTTCCAGGGCAGGAGAAACTGAGAGTTGGCACTGCTGGCCTGGACGGGGTTCAATCTCAGGACTTCGTGTGGGGGATTGGTCAGGAAATTGCTCCCCCCCCCTCCCAGGTCTGAATTCAAGCTCTACACTTAATCTGGAGCTCACAACAAATGAAGTTTTCTGGCCGGTTTAACAAGTGTTTGTGGTTTCTGTGATAGGAAGAGGCTCGACTTTTAAGTAACAAAGGGCTTGTCGTTTTTGTGTCAGCCAAGGATTTGTGCCATAAGTTGAATTATATATTACTTGTCATTCAGGACTTGTTTTCAGCCTTCCACAACCATCCGTCGAACATCTGCGACACAAGCTGTGGTTCCGGCCAGTCCCATTTTGCGATGGACCGCAGTTTTCTGATGGGAGACCCGTATAGCACCCATTGCGACCCATAGAAGTCCCGAAAAAAAACGAGCACGAAAGCCCATGGCAAGCCCAGACAGCCAATTGAGCGGCACCCACGCGGCCCAAAAGGACTTATAACAACCGTAAAACCTGGTAGTACATAGGCCTTCTACTGTAACCATGGAATCTGGTAGTACATAGGTCGTATACTATAAGTACATGCGCCTTCTGCCATAACCATCAAATCTGGAAGCAAAAACCCTGCAGACACCTCCTTTTGGCTCGTCTCGAGGCGGGTCTTGTGGTGCGATCTGAGCGCCGGGCAGCTGATGGTGGTGTTCCCCGTGAACAGGAACCTCACCGCAACGGCCAACGGCAGGTCGCCCCTTGTCTCCCGAACACCTGGCCCAACAAAACTAGGTCCAGTAGAGAGGTTGCAATAAGGGTACCAACTTTTTTCAGCAGTCTATTTTAGAACCCTCCCCAAACAAAGAATCGGTCAAAGGGCACTACTGGCGGACCTAGAGGAGGACGGACTTTGGGGATGTTTGGGGCCTCCGGAGTTTGAGGCCCAAATCCACTGCTCAATTCTTGGAAAACGCGGAAACGGGTACACAGCTAATGAATGCTTCGCACTTGCTGTCCCACGTTGAGTACACCCTTGGAAAACTCAGACAGCACGCAGATCTGGTCTACCTTGCCTTGATGTGGTTCCCTCCACTCCCCAAAAAGAGAAATTTCACATTCGTCTAGTTGCAATTGTCAAAGAAGACCGCTTGGCTCGATTGCCTATCCCCGCCTGAGCACTGTTTTTTGGTGGTTTGGGGCGTCTACGCGGCCTGCGAGGGGTGCCTACGCGAGCACAAGTCAGCTTCCAGGTGCCGATGCGAATGCCTGCGCGGGCAAATGTTGAGATCAAGTGTTGAAGTGAACTGTGGCAGCTCCAGCTGGAAGATCGCAACTGTTCAGTGCAAGTGCAGTTTTGGCAGCTCCGGCTCCAAGATCAGAAATGCAGTACAAGTGAGAATCCCACATCTGTCCAAGGATCTGGCTGCTAGAAAAGGTCTACGTACCCAAAATGTTTTGAAAGCCTACGCGAATGCCTACACGGGACCTACGCGAAGACTGCAAAACAAACAGAAGGAAGGCAAAAGAAGCAAATTCCTTCATACATGGCAAACAGTCATGATTTGTTCAGCAAACGCCTACGCGAAAAGCCTACGCGAGGGGTGACACAACAGCCTACGCGCTGAGCCTACGCCCCCAACCAGGATTGCCTCCGCAAAGTACATGCAGTTCCCTTTTTGCATAAACCCTTTCATTTGATTAAAAACCGCTGCTCACTTAAGCTTGTCTGGACTAGGCAGACCCCAAACGTTGTGGACCTCCTTTTAGTTTCCCTTTCAGCGAAACCAAATGGCTGTGTCTCTATTTACGGGACGCCCCCCCCCAAAGAAAAAACTGGTTGTCCGACTGGTTGCTTTTTGAAACCAAACAAATGGTGCCCTCCAAAAAACAGCACGCTCAAATATGGTGCCCTGAGAGTGCCTCGACAGTATGGCGAAGGCATGTTTCGACATAGCTCACTCCCCTGGTACTCTTTTGCGGTAGCTTGAGTATGCTGCGGAACTCTGACCAAGGATCCACTTACCAATCCACAATAAAAGCGCAGTGGGCAAGCGGGCGAAGCCCTCTTCCCTTCGGAATCCAATACAAAACCACCGCTGACTTGCAGTATGGATGTCACCCACGTTGCTCACAGACTCAATCCCCAAGCTGGACGTGAAAGCGGAAGGGCTGTCAACATCGCAACGAAGTTGAGGGCCACACCTGAAGTCATGCTGACCGAGCAGCGGCATGACCACTCCAAAGACCAAACCAGCCTGAC